GCGCTAGAACTTGTCAACTTTTGTTCAGAATCAGCTACTTATCACAGGTCACTGACGCGACTTTCTTCTCATTCATTCCCGTAGCGTCACAGTGCATTAAACAGTGGAAGCTCAGCGTCCAAAGACTTCAGTGGGGAAGCAAAGAGTGGGTTGTTCCACTGCAGCGAAACTAGACAGTCATTGGATAAATGCTCGGTTTTGTCCCGCCCATCGGATGCTCAGCGTCTCTGGGGGTCTATGGGACAGTGGGCTGGCCTAGGCTGGCCTGTACGCTGGGCTTCTGCATGATGATTGGATGATCTGTCTGAGGCTGAATCCCTTTTTGATTGACAGCGAAATGAGCGAATCAGCGATCTTGAAATATAAACCACCACCAGAGAGTTTTTCAAGTTTCATTCCGTTGTTCCAAGTTGAGCTGGAGACTTTTCCAATCCTCTTAGTGACTTTTTCTTTGTTAAAAACGACTAGCGACAAATCTAGCATCTTTTTCTGGTGTTATTGGAGAATGCACTCGTGTTTGGAGACTCTGACTTCTGTTGCTCTGCAGTTACTGTCCCTAACGAGCAGCGGGTGCTGGTGTGAGCCCCTCAACCGTCCCAAAGCACTCACAAGCGGTCACACTAGCCTCGCGCAGCAGCCCCAGAGGGTAGAATTTAGGTATAAATAAACGTACACATTTTATGATGTAGGCTGAAAATGAGCTTCCCCTCCTTGAAAGACCAGCTGCCGCCACTGGATGTAACATATATGTGTTGTTAGAAACTGATTGAGTTTGTTAAGGCTGTATGTAGCCTGATGGGAATATCTGCAAACTACTCAGAGCTGAAAATGCCATAATTTATGCCTTGACATATAGCTGATAATGTAGATGTAATATTCACCCCAAAAATGCCATTATTAATTGATCAATGAATTGTTTAGCTTACAAAACACCATAAAACAGTTTTAAAAAAGGCCAGTTTAACACTCTGGAGCCCAAGGTGATATCGTCACAATGCTTCTCTTGCCAGACCAATAGTCCAGAACTCAAGGGTACTGAATTTAAAGAGATAAAAAATGGCGAAAAGCAGCAAACTCTCAAATTTAAGAGGCTGGAATCATTTTCAGGTATTTATTAATTAAACTAAATGTCATAGCTTTGTGTCCACTTACCACCTCTGACAGCAAACCTCCACCCCTCCCTGGCCCTGACTCCACCATACAGTGTACACATGTTTACATTTGGTTCCTCTGTAGGCCCTTCCAGATGCTGCTGCTCTCCCCCACCTCACAGACCTAACTTCTCTTTCCACCCACTCCTGAAATAAGAGACCACAGAGGAAGTATCCGAGCATGTCTTACTTGGCATTTCCTGGTCAGGGGCTGGACAGATTCTTTCACTCCTCTTTGCCCTTACTGTCAAGTGCCCAAGCTTAAGTTCACACTATTTGTGTTGTTAGTCCCGAGTGACAGCATGCTGAGGATTCGGAGTTGTTGTTCTTTTAAGGCACAACGCTGTCTTTATGGCACTATATTTAGATTTCTTTTTGCAGCTGTAAATACACACATTCTTGCCAAAGTCTTGTTGGTGTGCCTTCTTCATGAGTATAATGATAGGCTGGATGGATTTCTTTTTTTTCTTAGTCAGGAGTTGAATTATGAGAAATAAACTGCACTGTGCAGCGTATTCAGAAAGCATGGTTTGTGTTAATTCGCTTAATAGAAGCAACATGGCAGCACAAAGAAGAAATGTGTGATTTGTGTGGTTCATTAGTCGAGGATGTCACATTGTTTACATGTTGTCGAGGTCACATTAGGTTGTGTTTTCTTGCTTAACTGACAGCTACTCAAAAGCAATTAATTACCGTCTCTGTGTCCACCATTGATGACCCATTGATTTGTTTTTGATCGTTTTCTTGTAGTGCGTTTTGTCTTGATTGGACACAGCTCATGGTAGAGTGTGACAGGAAACATGAGGGAGCAATGTTCTCTGGATGGATTCGAATAAATTTTGTTGCAGTGTCACAACATTTGTCCACCAGACTGTGGACCTCTCTGAGGCGTATCTCACCTCTCACCCAATGTGAGCCTGCATAGTCTCTATCCTCCCGCGACGCAACAAAGGATAAATGGTGATACATAATGTATGAAGTTAAAAGCTTGGTACAATTGCTGAAATTGAATGCACATACTGGCTGGCAGGAAACAGCGAGTCGTGCTAAATGTCAGACAAGAACATCTCTTTGCATACTCACAGCTTGTTGGCATGTGTGATTTTCCATCAGCTCAGCAGACAGAGCAGAGAGATGTGTTGTATCCACGTCTTCTGGGGCTGAAAAATAAAGCCAACGTGGAAATGCCAAAAACTGCAGTTCGTCAAATGACCACTTGAGGCTGGCTCCCACAGACCCCCATGTTTAAATGCCCAACTTTACAGCCGAAATGTTTACAACCTTGTACAAAAATAGGTTTTGCTAATTCAAGCATTTATGACAACTGTGCGGGGGTGATTTTTTTTTATTTCATTAAGGCTTAAAGTTATGCATATTCAAGGGTGTGGCTGCTTCAGTGATATATTTTGGGCGTGGCAACACAGTGATTTGAGTTGAAGGTGTGAGAAAGAATAGTATCAGTAACATTGTTAACACTGTGCTACATTACAGAGAAATACAAAACCGTACTAATGAACCTTCATTAATATAGGCCTATATTTTATCTACAAGTGCAAGTCACACACTGAGCGAGCCGCCTGTTAATGACGCTGTGGGCTAATGGGCATGTAGCTACTTCCATGTTTCAGATGATACGTCATGTTTGTAGTCGACCAGTGAAGGTGAGTTTACATATCACCTTGGGTTCGTCCTTCACCTTCTCAAAATGATCCCACACTTTGGATTTCCTGCCCGACATGTTATTAACTAGCCTGTGGAATAACCGCAGGTACCAGCCCTGGAAATTGGGGGCAGTCTTTAACCGCCTGGAAAATGCAAGGTCAGGCGTTGGGCCGTGTAGGCCGATTGTCCCTTGGGACAGATGTAAAGCTCTGGGTAGCCCTGCACTAACAGACTGAATATTAGACTGAAAGATATCTGTCAGCTGTGATTGGTTTGTAACGTGACTCCTGTCTGACTGCTGAGCATGGCCACTTCCTGTGTCTGTCCTTTCAAATTAAAGTCCCACATGGTCCTGTCATATAGGTTTTGATTTATTTTGACAAGGCGCAGCTCCTGATAGAGTTTCATATTTTTTGTTGTTTGTTCTGCGACTAAGCGACCAATGAAATCTTGCTGACTAATGACAATTCTGATCGACTGACGTTTGGTCGACCATTAGGGGGCAGCCCTAATATTGCCCTCTTCCTGTATTTTCTTGTTTTCTTCTTATTTTCTGTGTTTGGGATGGTTATGGGCACCGCCACAGCACTCAGGTGAGGGGCTTTATAAAAAGGTAGCAAGTCTAGTGACCTGACCGCAAGCAGCAGGAGACACAGCAGGTGAAACACCAAACAAGTTAATCTGGGGTTGTCTTTTACTTTTATTTTCACCAGCAAGTGTGTTTACAAACAGTAACTGACAATCCTGCATAGTATACCTTTAAAGTAAGAGCATCAATTATCCGCCACATCACCTTTTTCCTGGTAGGTGGCAATGAACGCTTGCTACACAATAAATGCTTCCCAGCAGGTTTACCAGCCAATAACCTGATGAGGTAATGGACAATTATGTACATTGCAGCAACAAATTTTGTAATCAACAAATTGGTTTTGCAAACCAAAAATAGCAGTGAGATAATGGCAAAAATATGTGCAACGTGATTCAGAAACATAATGGCCCTGATATAATATAATGTGTCCACTTAAGTTAATAACTTGATTACTTGTGTAATCGGTCAGTTCTAGGAATGCCTAAAGAAGGACTGCAAACAACACATCAGATTTGCACTCACAGCTCTTACATTGAGAACATGCCTGTACTGTATCAGTGCGGGTTGATGCTGTGTTGTAGATGTAAAATGTTGTTTTAATAATAAATTCACACAAGAATAAGCCCGAGGCATAAATATAATTTCAATGTCTAACAGCTTTCAGGGTGAAAACTGTAATCCTCACATGCTTTTATCATGATTGTTGCAGTGAATCAGAGCTGAATGTTGGCTCCCATATGCAGTCCATATAAATATTTACCTTCAGTCACATTAGGTATACAAGAAAGAGGCCTGAAGCAGAGGATGTTTACTTTATGGAAATCAGTGTGTGCAAATGTTTGTGCTCTTTTATGTGTAACGCCAGTGCCAATCATCACTTCAGCTCAGATTCTTAAAAGGTGGATGCAGGAAAATGCTGACCAGATTTCACAGTGTGTTTTCCTTTTACTGAACGCATCCTGCAGAGACGTCTTTCTGGTTCTTTGTCGTCCACCTGGAGATAAAGTTCCTCTATGCCTCTGTCACTAGTGGCCAGTTTTCACTGACGTTTGACGATCAGTCAGGGAGATATCCACACCTGAAGAGACAGGCATGAGATTTTTCCCCCTCCCCATAACTCAGTACTGCTAAAAGAAATGTTTAGACTTTAATAAAGACGCCATGGGCACAAACTTATTGTGCACTTCATAATATCCCCTTGGCTGTATGCTTACCTTTGATTGGAAGCAGCAAGATCCCGGCTGCTCTCTGTGGGTAGCTGAAAAGGATTTTGGAAAGTGTTAGAAAATGCTGCGGGAGGTGGAGCACAGCTCTAAGAGAGCTCTGAATTCACAACAGAACAAAGCAAAGAGAAACACAAGACTGAATAGAGACATAGCTGCTCATCATCTTGTTCAGCAAGATGGTGACACTTAATAAATCTCATCGAAAGCCTTATTGGTGAGGGCCCCCAGATTGTGTCTACCTGCGTCATTCCCCACATCCAACCCTTCTCCGAGTCTTCCAATTGATCAGGCAGTCTGTAATTACTGTCTCCAGTGGAATTACCATCCTTTGAAGGAGGAGGGGCGCACTAATTTCAAGCCCTCTTTTTCCAGGCAGGTCTGATCCGGACTGATAATGGGGAGTTTTTCATCGAGCCCCTCGAGAAGGGCCAACAGGACGTGGAAGTGAAGGGGCGGGTCCACGTGGTCTACCGCAGGTCGGCCATCAAGAGGGAGACGGGCCAGCGGAGGGAGGACCTCCACAATGAAGGTAGGCGAGGAGAGGGAGTCTGACGTCAGTGGAAACAAAAAGCACTGTCTGTCTGTCTGTGTGTATGTGTGTGTGTGTGTGTGTGAGAGAGAGTATGTGGGCGTGCACATGTGAGTGAGTGCATTTGTGTAAGGGCACCGGAGGTTTATAATGGCAAGGACTATTTGTTCAGTAGCACATTATAGAATAGAACAAAGCACCATCATTTCAAGTGGTTCAGCTGCATTTAAAGCAGCAGTGGTATTATGTACTCAAGTCACAGCTGTGTCATTTTTGTAACTTCAGTGTATCTTTCCAGCAGTTTCAGGAAGCCATTGTGTGAACACCAGAGCTGAAAAAGAAACTCAAACTGTTTTGTGATATTTTCTGGATTTCTACTAACCTTTTTCTAAGCCTCCTAACCGGTGATAGCTGTGGCCAGAGGTATTATGTTTTCAGGCTGTCTGTCCATCGCTCTCATTCTTGTGACTTAATATCTCAAGAACGCCTTCAGGGAATTTCCTCAATTTGGCACAAAGGTCCACTTGGACTCAGCATGAACTGATTAGAATTTTGTGGTCGAAGGTCAAGGTAACTGTGACCTTGTCTGTGTCATTCTCATGATCATGATATCTTGAGAATGTCTCGAGGGAATTTCCTCAAATTTGGCACGAACATCCACTCAGACTCACCAATGAACTGATTGGAATTTGATGGTTGAAGGTCAAAGGTCAAGGTCCCTGTGACCTTGTCTGTGTCATTTTCGTGATCATGATATCTTGAGAATGTCTCGAGGGAATTTCCTCAAATTTGGCACAAACATCCACTCAGACTCACCAATGAACTGATTGGAATTTGATGGTCGTAGGTCAAAGGGCAAGGTCTGTGTGACTCTGGTCACAAGGTCTGTCTCATTTTCAGGCCTTGAGGGAATTTTTCCAATTTTTTTTTTTACAAAGATTTGTTTTTTCCATTCGTGCACTTGAAAATATTATTTTAAAAGGAATTTTTCCAAAATTAGCACATACATCCCCTTGGAATTTTAGAGTCTTGGGTCAAAAGTCACTGTGACCTCACAAAACATGTTTTGGGCCAAATCTCAAGAATTCATACACTAATAATGACAACATTTTACACAAATGTCCAACAGGATAAAATGATAACATGGTCCAAAAGCTTAAAGGTCAGCTTCAGTGTGACATCATAATGTTCTGCAAAAACTATTTTCTGGTCACTAATCAAGATCATAACAGGAACAAAACAGGAGACACCTTGAAGCTTTTATTTAAAGCTGCACCACAGTATTTTTTTTTTGTGTTGAAATCAAATCAAAACAGCCCGCAACATTACTGTTTTGGTTTACTCTCATCAGTCTTCTGTCAGCTTCAGATAAATGCACTTAATGCCGGCTAATTAGCTACTTAGCTATATGAATGGAAACACACTGGTCGTGACAATGTCAGGGCACCCCTCTATAAGGTGGCCTATAATGAATGACGTGACAACACCCAACAACCTGATGTTTTTTTCTGGTGGCACACTGATGGAAGTGGAGCAGTGTGGATCATACGTTGTAAATGTAATAATAATATTACCAGAAATCCTGTTGGTATGGCCTTATATCACTTTGTTACTGCTAAAAAGTAATATATCACTGTAATGCGTTACCCCCAACACTGGTAATAATTATCAATGATTTGTCAGTAGCCCTTTTTTCAACAACATTGTAACACAGACAATAATGAAAGCACACTTTAGCCTGCCGATTGCTTCACCGACGGAACTGAAAAAATGGAAACCAGTGTTGGAAACAAACGCACAAAAATCTAAAGCTGTACTTAAATCATAAATGTAAGTACACATTATTGCAGGTTGGGAGCTAATACTTCACCAAGACTTCACCCTGCAACTTTTAAACTCCTGTCACTGCTCTGTGTTTATTAGACTGAACAGATGCAGTGCTCCTTAACCAGCTGGTGGAGTGAGGAATTCTGGGCTCCAGTGGTAGAACTGGGAATGGGGAGGATGGGGGAGCTGGTGAAGGGGGGAGATTGACCTTTCCTTGGCAGTATAATGACCCAGATCCACCATGAATTCCTTTTCTATCCCTTCCTTGCAACAACAATAACTTGAGCATCTGGAAGGAGACTCTCACAATACTCACTGATTTCCCAGCATCATTTCATTCCACTCCACAACCTTTTAGCTCAATTTGTATCAAGCCACATTCACATTTTCTAAGCCTCCTTTTTTTACTGCCATTGTGAAATGCATTATGTTCACTTTTATCTACATGCTAGGTTCTTCTATGAAAGGATACACCTGTTACCTTTTCCATTACTGTTTCTGCACCGATGAAAAAAAACCCTGCTTTAACAAGTTAGTCGCAGAGAGAAGCATTAGTGTTCAGTATTTGTGGCCTTTTTGAAACCAGTCCTGTCTGCTGTAAAAGCTTTTTTACCCTTCCTTATGGGTTTTTGAGATGTTTACTCACAGTTGTGTCTCGTCCCGCAGGGAGAACCTGTGTCCCAGGCGAGGCTTAAAACAGGTGATGGGGCTTTTAGCACACCAGCAGACAGACTCTTGTCCTACCACAGCCACAGCAATCAGAATTTTACTTAATCTCAAATATTATTTTTCATCCTGCCACTCTCATGTAATGTCTATCCGTATTATGTTAAAGAATGCGTGGTATTAATTACAATTACAGCTTTGCAATTATTTTGTTTTCCTGCTTATTAGAAATAGTCCAGTTTTTGTCAGTTGTTGAGCACATTTATTTTAATTTTCTCTGCTGTCACTGGTGCAAACAAGTTGTCATCTGTTTTCTATTTATTTGTTTATCTGCAGCTTTAGTAATTCAGAATAAATAGCTTCTCTGGAGAGTTGCCCGGAGCCAGTTGTCTGAATGGTTTTTGTAGAGCACTGTGTTCATTCTTATTTTTCTGCATTGTACTTCTTAAACTACCTCATTCAATTGATTTTCTGGTATGCATGAGATAATGTATCATGTCTCAATTTGTATCTGGCAGGCTTAAATGACTACCGTCTTTTAAAAAAGCTTATTGTAATTCATGGCTTAGAGCAAAATGCCAAGCTCACATTCTGCAGTTGCATTTCAGTCAGGAACAATTTAGTCAAAAAAAACCTTTATTTCCATTAGCAGTAATATATGTAGTGTGTGGCTCTGTTCTGGGGCCTCTCTGCCTTTCCTAGGCCTACACAGAAAACCTCTTCCACGTGTCTATGTGGAAAGCCTAAGGCGGAGAGAGCACACCTCTCTGCCCTTCCACGTGCCTGCATGGAAAGTCAAAGGCTGAGAGAGCACAACTCTCTGCCCTTCAACATGCAAACGAGGAAAGTCTGAGGCAGAGAGCGCAAACCTCCCTGCCCTTCCATGCGCCTACATGGAAAGCCTAAGGAACCCTGCACATACTTTTGTGCCTTTTGCGAGCCAGCTTTTAAGAGTTATGCTGCATCTGAGGTTGCTAAACAACCCTAACAAGTACTGTATGATAGCCTATTTACCTGAAATCCTGAGAGCAGAGTTGATCTTCCTCTAGTAGCTGTTTATAAGTGTGCAGGCCTATCGTCTGTGGGACAGATGAAAAGCTCTGGGTAGCCTGCACCAAAATGATCAACTTCTCTGTATTTATCACAGACTTACCAGAAGAAGGTAAAGATATCTGTCAGCTGTGATTGGTTGTTCCTGGTCACATGACAGGCGGTGTCCTCTGTTGCATTCCAAAAGTTGAACTTGGTTTATCTCGGGGTGCAGCTGTTGCATGTGTACTGCCTCTATGGCAGGAAGAGCAGCAGCAAAGACCCCCATGAACAGAACAGAGCAACATCAATGACAAACAGAAATGACACCAATAAGTCAGACACAGCATGAAAAGGAGGACCTGGGGTGGAGTTGGGTTGCAAAGCAGCTTGCAGAGGAAGCAGCAACAGTAGGCACGCCAGAGCAGTTTAAATAGGGTGCCCTGAAGGAGATTCACCAATTGGTTGCATAGAAAGGAATCAGCTGCTCCATCAGTTTGAGATCAGCTGATGTAGCTGGGATATGAGCTGAGCTTGACATCGTGTCCTGCCTGAACTAACGCTAGTTTATGTTATTACTTTCATCAAGGAAATTATTTATCAGTTTGTGTATCTGCTTGCTCATACAGATAGCAAGACATTAGAAACTTGGAATTACGTCTATGAAAAAACTGCTGCTAAACACAAATCTATTTATGGCTTTTATGATGATTTTTTTTCACGTGATAGAACTTCAGTTTTCAGCCTATTGAATGTGTTCAAAGTGCATGGATCACTGCATCTTACTTATTTTTTTTTTCCGCGTGACTCTTCAGCTCATCTCCAGAGATCAGGGCCATCTCACAGTTTCTGCTGCAGCCTGAATCTGTAACATTCTCACAAATTGCGTCTTTCAGTAAGTGTTTAACTCTGCCAAGCACAGCCGTAGACAGACTGCATATTGTGCATGAATATCACACGTACACAAAACAGCTGAAGCGCTTAATGACATGGATTAATGTTGTTTGGAATTGGTGTGACTCAGCTGGGATTCATGCAATGAATGCACACACTAGTTAGGTTAAATGTGGGGCTGAGAGGAAATACACTTCTCACTCCGCAGGCCAACAATTTATGAGTGTAAGGGGAGTATTTTGACTAGAGATCAAGTGGCTTACAAAGGATTCCTCCTGCACATCCTGAGACAGAAGTTTGTTTCACGTCGGGTCTGACACAAACATAAATCACTCCACGAAAGCTGAAATAAGAGAAGAAATATCACAGGTGTCAGATTCCCACAGTCATTGACTTATTTATGTGCTGTTCATATTTTTCAGTGGCAGACTTCGGGATCGCAGACCTCCCTGCGGCTCTGGATCTCGTGGAACATAAACTGTCAGAGTCTGAGCGCAAGAGGAGGCACGCGAAGAAAGATGACTACAACATCGAGGTGCTGCTGGCTGTGGACGACTCAGTGGTGCGCTTCCACGGCAAGGAGCATGTGCAGAATTATGTTCTCACACTCATGAACATAGTAAGTCTTTTCTGGTGTTTGAATCAAATCTAATCAAATTCTCACCACCCAACATGAAATATCTTGACCTGCAACTAACCATAATTTTCCTTTTCGAGCAATGGGCTGTCGAACTTACTGATTTATTGAACAATTGGTTGTCCTAAAGTTGTGTTTTAAATGTCAGTAAATTGTACAAAATACCCACCACCCAGCCAAAGGTGACATCTTGAATCTAGTGGCGCTGCCTATTTGGTGATTACCACTACCAGCACTGTCTTGACCCAACAACATTGATGTGGGAACATTGTGCCCACCCTCCAGTCTCCTCCAAGATCACACTGGTGAGTAAGCAGCTACATTTTGAGCCGGAGAACCCTGTCATTGTTATCTGTGTTCTCTCTTTTTAGTTCTGCCACCAGGGCGGTGTGACCAGCTGTAATTGTAAATGAGTGCCACCTGTAGCTGGCTCCCACCTGAGTGGCCAAGGCTAACGTTAGCTAACCAGTGGAGACCGGAATTTTGCAAAATTTGCAAATCCTGGGATAGCGAAGGAATGAAGCACCCTACGCTTGCTATGACTGGCTAGTACTCATTGCCTTTGTTGTAGGATTGGTTAGGGTTAGGGTAAGAATGTCAGGGTAGGTCAATCAGATGCAGAGTACAGTGGGCCATTCCTTTGCTATCCTAGGATTCTGGAGTTTGCAGCTGGAGGGCAGTGGGCATCACGTTTCTGCCTGTTAACGCAGCTAGCTGTCTGTCTGTCAGCAAAGTCAACAGAAAATAAAAGACAAGGCATGTATGTTACAAAGCATTAAAATTTCAAAACCTTTGGGGCCCCATGTACAAAGGCTACAACCTTGCCACAGCAGCTGCAGGTTCGATTCCGACTTGCAGCCCTTTGCTGGATGTCATCTACCCTCTCTTCCCCTTTCACACAAGCACTGTCCGATTAATTAAAGGCCAAAAAAATCGAAACCTCTAAATGGATAGGGCTTTTTATTTGTATTTTACATTTTTTACATTTTTTTTTTTTTCCCTTAAAAATTAATTGGTTAGTTACCAATTAATGTATGTTGGGCTGTCGAAAGCAAATTAATTGAAATTGGCATCCCTATGTGAGACAAAGAAAAGCTTCAAAAATTACAATATCCAGCTTGAATTAATGAATATTTGGCATTTTTTTCTTTAAAAATAACGTAACTACCTGAGACCCTGCATCCTCATATAAAGACATTACATTTTGGTTTTGCTGTACCTTATATTTTATTTCGCAACTTAGACCTGTTGTCCTCACTTGTGGACATTTGTTTGTGCAATGTAGTTGTAGCAAAAGCACAGTACACTAATCCATGTAAAAACAAGATGGCAGCCAACTCTGCCAAGTCAGTCCGCAGCCAGTCCCAACACAAAAGTGGATAAGCTCCTAAAGTTGGAAATGGTTTATTAATACCTAAATACACTTGTAGTTTGAAATGTTACACAAATTTGACCAATTCTAGCAATAATAACAAGCCAAGACACTGTTTATAGGACGTACTCGTTTGAGGAAACTGGGACTGGGACTCTGCATCTGATTGACCTACCCTGACAATATCTATATTGTCATTGTACATGTACAACGAAATTAAATCCATCCTCCTCAGTGCAAATATAAGTAAAAAAGACCTTCTAAAAACAATAACAAACTATATAGTTAAATGTAAAACAGCAAATGATATTACACTGAAAAACACAAATGCAGGGCATTCGGCCTATTGCACAAATCTCTGATATTGCACTCAAGCATATTTCTACACTCAAGCCTTTGTGAGTTCATTAAGTGCAGTTATTGCCTCACGATAAAAGCGTTTTGTTAACCTGTTTGTCCTTGTTTAAAGTGTCCTGTGTTTCCTGCCCAAGGGCAGCAGTTCAAACAGATGGTGTCCTAGGTGGGATGGGTCCTTGAAAGTGTTCTGGGCTTTTTTGAGGCAGCAGGAACTAGAGCGCTCTTCAGTCTGCTACTGTGCAGCTGGCATACCACACACATATACAGTACGTTAACACACTGTTTGTGGAGCAGTGGTAGAAGAACACAAGTGGTTTCTGGGTGAGCTGGTTCTTCCTGAGACATCTTGAGAAGTAGAGTCTCCATGCTGTGCCTTCTTAATCAACGCTGTGGTGTTGGCGCTCCAGGTCAGGTCCTCCTCAGTCTAGACAGCCAGGAACTGGAAATCAGAGACCCTCTCCACACAGGTCCTGCTGATGCTTAATGGCTGAATGTCCGGTGTATTCCTCCTGTAGTTGCTAATCAGCTCCTTGGTCTTGGTGGTGTTAAGGACCAGGATATTGAACCTGCACCACCCAGTCAGCCAGTTAGTTTTATATTTTCGCAGCATTCACACAGGCCAGTCAGGTGAGACAGACTGTTTCTACATTCACTAAGGACAGTTTTGGAGTGTAGAGCAATGAAAATTTATGCAGAGTTACAAAATGACCATATCACATGGCTTTTTGATTTGTTGCATTATTTGCAGTTTAGCTTTTGCACAGCCGGGGCATTAAAATGAACAGTTTTAGACTTTAACAGTGACCATTTACAAAACATTGAACAAATGTTCAGCCATTTTCAGGCACTAAAATATATAGTTTTATACTTTATTACACATTTGTGACTATAAAAATAAACCCAACATACCCATAGACCCTTTTAGGGCCAACGTCACAATGACGTCAGTTTGTTAGCTGGAGGCAAAACACGACTCTCCACCACAGGGCTGTAGGCTACATAGGAGTCTTAAAATGTCGTCTTGTTGTGTTATTGGGAGCCAGAATAGAAGGAGTCATGGTTCAGAACTTATATCACATACCAGCCGCCACTACCCCTTAACAAAAACAAAGACAACTGTGGTTAAATTTGATAAGACGAAAGGACTGGACAGAGGCGATTATCAAAAATACTCACCTGTGCACACTTCATATCAGGTTAGGGAAAAGTATTTCCTGTTGTAGGAATGAATAACGTTATGTGTATTAAGGGTTATCATGTCCACCTCATCAGACACTGGGGAGGTATTAAGAGGAGTATTGGATTTCTCCGTAACGTTAACTTTTTAGCGCATTAGCTAACGTTAGCTTCAGTAGCAAAACAAACTGGAGGATCATCCTCCTTGTATGATTGGCATAGTGGGCGGCAGTAGCTCAGTCCATACTTGGGTTGGGAACCGGAGGGTCGCCTGTTCAAGTCCCCGTCCAGACCAAATATGGAGTGTGGACTGGTGGCTGGAGAGGTGCCAGTTCACTTCCTGGTGCCCTTGAGCAAGGCACTGAACCCCCCAACCGCTCGGGGCGCCTGACCAAGGCATATATGGATATATTGGTTAACATCCATGCCAACGTAAAGGGTGCATGGAAGTATGTGGACAGTTACGGTAACATCGTTTGAAACAGACGTATACATTTTTGTATGTAAAGGGAGCATAAATGAGCCCTACGCCAATCAGAGGCAGCGATTGCATTCCGTACACAAGCACACAGAGAGAGAGAGAGGGAAAAAACACACGACTTGTCGACTTCTCCTGGGGGGTGTCGACTTGTGCCACTGACGTCGACACATCGACAAATCGGCTTTTCTGTTAATACCCTAATATATATATATAAAAAAAAATCAACCACAAAGCCGGCCATCTTGTCAAATCATCCATCCACTGAGTGAGAACATATGGGTCGACCAGTCTGGTCCCATTGGTCAGTGTTTACTTATTCAAGTAACACTTGCGGTTCTGGAGAGTGAGTGCACTTGACACGGTGCATTCGTAAATCAAATCTGGTGCTCTACACCAATATGAGAGCCCTGTTGGTCGAAGAAACGGAGAGTTATGTTTCTATATAAATGAATGAATGGTTAAGTTGATCACACATTCACTTCACTCGGCGCTCTGCTGCCACTATGAGAGTGCGGTGCTCTGAATAACACTCGGAATGAGTATTTCTGAACGCACCACTCACATCATCGTCCTACATTGTCTAAAACAAGCCCACCGAACTTGGTAACTAGCACTAGCAAGTGTCTGTGCAGAACTGTTTTGCCTCCAGATAAGCCCCGCCCACTGAAAAATATCACACTGTTTATAACAGTAAAAGGGTCTATATGAGGATATCCTTTTTTCCCCAAAACATAATGCTAGTTTTTATACTTAAATGCTCGGACCTTCTCATCCCAAATAGCCAGGAGAAACTTACATACCAAACAAAAGCTCATTTCTCAGGAGGCTCAACATTGAATCTGTTCTCAAAATAAATGCTTGACTAATGGACTAATCGTTGAAGCTCTATAAATATCCCTTTTTGACATGAAAACACTGCTGCTGAGTTTGGTGGACTCCCACCTGTGGAGGTGTCCTCTCTGACATCAGACCTTGCCACACTTCTCCCCAGACCCCCACTTCCTCTAGCTGTTTATGGATTACCGATGAGAGGTGAACAAAAAAAAAAAAAGAAGAAATTTCTCAGCTCATTCATTACGGGTTCCACCAGCTCCTACCACCATAATCTACTTAATGGGCCCTAATCGCTCAAGTCAGATTTTCACAGGGTGCTGGTTTCACTCTGTAACAGTTACCATTTGGACCCTGCATGGTGGTCTGATTAGCTGCACTAGACCAATTAAAGAGTTGACTGGGAGCTGTGCGGGGCAGTCATGGAAACTAGCGCCAGGAGTTCACTCACACTTCCAAGCTCTGCTGACATGGAATGATGTGCTTATTTAATTGGGATAATATATACACAGTCCATCTCCAAATGTCTCCTGCAAGAGAAATGTCTGATTTTCATGACCTTGGCAGATTGTACTGTGAAGTAGCTGCGAGAGTGTGCTCTATAATTATCAGTTCTTAGTTCCTAGTGCTCTCTGATAAGCACTTATTTCAGATCCATGGCAGGATGAGATAATTTCAAGACGTCCTTATGGATAAAATTTACTGAACTATGAAGTGAAATGAAGTTCTTCACAGTAATATCTACATATTCTGCTTCATTCTTGG